CAGACATCGCGCGGGAATTTCGGTGTCTCTTTTTGAATTTCCTTCTTGAATTTTCTTTTCGAATCTTGGTCGGAGCCATACGGCCTTCAGAATTTTGATTTTCTTTTTCGGACCTTTTCACAATATCGGCAGGCTAGATTGGAATTTCGGAATTTTGGAATTTTTGTTTTTCTAGGGCGCTGCTTTGCGTGTTCGTGCGCTCTTTCTTGCTGCTGCGCCAGGACCTTCATTGATTGGCTTCTTAATCCTTTTGCAACTGTAATTTTGGGCGCACACTTTTGTAACTGTATCTTTCTGTTTCTTGCTTCTTATTCTTCCCGCCTCGTTTCTTCCTCTCTCCCCTCCCTAGCTGGGTAGCCGCGTTTGCATGTTCAGATCGATGCGTGGAGTTGGGTACGTCCCCCACGCCGCTGCCCGACCGTGCAAACGTAAGCACTCCCTTTCTCCCATCTATCTACGTCCTTGTAATTCCGTGTTCTTCGTGCATGCATGCACGCTATAAATTCCGGTTGCGTTATTAACTTTCTCTCTTAACAGTTGTTGGAAGCTTGGGGTTGCGCGATCGAGAGGGTCGGCACACGAGCGAAGTAAGAGGTGACGCGGGCCATGACGGACTATGGGCACGGAGCGAACCTGACGGGCGCAGGAGGACTAAGCGGGGTGACGGCTTCATGGGTTGGTGCGCGACGACGGACTGTCGGCATCGGAGAGAGAGAGAGAGGAGAGAGAGTTGAGGTTGAGGATGGACATGGATTTGCGTTTTTCTTTTCGGCCCTTTTTTTTATTTGTGTATATAAATTTTGGTGTCGATTACGGGCAACTCGCCCTTACCTTTGCGGCCATATATTCGTCCTGTTGTTCGATTTGATTCTTTTTTTTGTATCGATGTTTTCTCCTTTTTCGTTCCTTCTCCGGAATCCTCTTTTGCAAATGATGTATGGATGGTTCRCRCACCTTCGCATTTTCGTTTTTGATCGTTTCCCTTCGAACCCTCGTACATGATGAATGARAATGGGGATTGCATGTTGGCGTGATCAGTAGAGTGTGTTGGCTTGTYGAATCTTACRGGTAGTCTGGAGCGCACCATYCGACGTGCCATATGGGCACCTGCAAGTGCGATCCGAATGGAGCGCGRCTTACATGTKTCCATACCACTCRGACTCGCCAATCRCGTCTTGGCTAACGCCCGTAGTCAGCCCCTCACTGAAGTAGGAGTCGACGTCAACCGGGATCGGGTTACCCATCACGCGTAAGTGCGCGTAAGTGCGACTTGTTCGCATCTCTCTTACGCACTTACGAGCGGTGGTCTCCCCGATTAACTTATCCCCCAAGGCGTGAGTGATGAAAGAATGACGAGCTCGCGGAGTTCCGACGTATCTTGGAATTCGGAGGATTACGAGTCGCATTTCGGATACCGGGAAATCTGGGAAGAAGAGCAACTCCGATTACGGGGAAATTTGAGAAACCCGGTGTTCCTCTGCCTCACGGAAAACGATAGATTCTGCGCTAGGGAATTCCATCTCGCTGTACGAAGCGACCCACGGATACCCGACTACCCAAACACGTACAACACGCAGTATTTCATAACCCCCGGCTTCCCCTTATCGCCACTAATTTCTCGCCATACCACCTCCTCCTCCCCTATCATCAGCTTACAGTAGTACCGTAGAATTCCATAGCGCCTTATTGACCCTCCACCCCGCGCAGAAGTTGCAGGCGACGTGCCCATACCCGAACCCCCAGAGCCTCGGCACCCAGGCATAGTTCCCACCAACCCACGCCACGTGGCGGACCCCGAAGGCGTGGGCCCCAAGGACCGCCTCGACAGGCTCCCCAGAACTAGCGATCACGTCAGGATCGGACGGCCCCGCACAACCAGCGTGCAGCCCGCGCCCGTAAATTTTCCCATTGCTCTATTGCATCTCTGCCCCTGAACTCGGCCACAGAAGATCCCAGTTCCGACCTGGGACTTCAACCCCCACCTTCCCAAAAATCCTTGGCACACCCCTCTTCGCACTTCCAGGCCCCCATCCCACTCCGATCAGGAAGTCGCGTCGGGCGTGAGGTTGGTATCGGAGCCCGACACGTGGCTAAGCGATAGGGTCTGTAGACTCAATATTGGCTAAGGCGAGGCAATCGGGCTCCACGTAGGCGCCCTTCAGCTGGGGATACACGCCAACGTAGTCCTGTAGCTACACGAAGCCAAACGTCCGCCACAAGGCGAGCAGGCGCCATGGCTGCGCCCACCGCTACAGCAGCCGCTGCGGTGGTCAACCCTAACCAACAGCCTAACCTGCCTGCGCCGCCTGCACGAGCCCCTGCGGCTCCACCAGATCTTTATTTATTTAATCCAGCCCACCATCTCGCTGGAGCATGGTTAGCCACGCTCCGAGCTCAGCGGTATACGAACGATGAAGCTCAGATCAACATCCTCGCGCGGATGGGGGGGACGGCCATCATTGGTATAGCACTTGTGTATGAGTGGATCTTCCCACATTCGAGCGGGATTTCATGAACCACTTCGATTATGTTCACCTCGAACAAGCACTCTATGTGAGAAACCACTCGAATCCATTACCGAGTATCGGAACAGATTTGATCGAATGTTTGTAAAGACTGAGCGAGGCGAGCAGGTAGGCCGGGACCTGTTCATTGATGGACTACGTAACAGAACAATTCGGGGGAAGCTACGCAAAAACTTCTCTCCCATTAACCACACGCTGCAACAAATTATGGACGTTGCCGAAGAAATGGAGCGGAAGTTCGCAGCTAGCTTCTTAGAAAATGAGGATTATGGTAAAGAAGGAGACTCGTCATAACTTGTGAAAGCAAGGGTGGAACTGGCCGCACTGCAAAACAAATTCGAAAACATGGGATTAGTAGTCGGACCCGTTACGTATGTAGAACAGGTGACATCGAGGACCGCACYATGTGGAGYGACTGTAAACAGGCAGATCCCGGTAATGRCGTCCCCAACCGTAACTCAGCCACCTCCACCGCCACCCACCATCGAGTCACCCGCAAGAGCGAATGAGTCTATTGCTATCTTGGAGCTAACTAAAACATTGGTTAGTCTAATCCAAGAAAGCAAGAAGGAACAGCGAGAGCACAACGCCCGATAAGAAGCTATGATGCGGAATATGGGACCCATTGCGGTGCAAGCACCAATGCAGGGAGGCATGGCTGCTGCACAAGTTGCAGCGAGGCCAGCCAGGACAGCGGCAAATGCCTGTTTTACATGTCATCAACCGGGACACTTCGCCCGAGATTGCCCCCATCGAGCCATGCAGCCTCGAGTCAGGGTCGCGCCTGCAGCTGCATCTCCCATAGCTAACGGCCCAGGACGTGTAGGAGCCGTGATGGATGATCAGGGGGGAAGTAATGGAATGATGATTTCCAGTGAGGAAGCAACCGAGCTTATCCCGCTGGAGCAGTATGTATCACTAGGATACCCGGGGCTGGGAATGATTGGGACGATTCGACCGGAACTCGAGTCCAGAGATGTCGCCGAATGGCGGCCTTCGTCGAGCGAAATGGAGACGGGAGACCCTACCTTTGTTACAGGGGAAATCGATGTCCTCGAGGTTACCTGAGCAATAGATCATCGAATCCCTCTCCCAATTGGCCACCTACTCTCCATTTCGGAACAGGCGAACGAACGTATGATGCACCATTGCAAAGCGAACCGGAAGCGATTCGCCCTTGCACGCGCAAAAGATCAGAAGGCGAAGGCTTCGACTTCGGAGGAAAAGGCGGACGTCACCCCTGACCCCATCCGAGTCGGATTGATACAGAAAGATGACCACTTTCTTCGGATGAAGCCGATTCCGTGGARGTCAGYCGAATGTGATATTGAAGTCTGGGGAGTGCCGTATAGTGCGATCATAGATTCTGGAGCGGCTGTCCTAGCGATATCACTCCGAGTAGTCGAGAGAGCGGGTAGGAAGAATGATTTGATTATGCTAACCGAGAAGGACCAGCTCATATCGGCTGACGAGGAGAAGATCAAGACAGTAGGACGAATGACGAATGTCACGTTCCGATGGGGAAAAGTGCATGCTTTAGGAGATGTTGTAGTGCTGGATGTGAATACGTATGACGTTCTTTTCGGGCTTCCTGCATTGGTGGCGCTGCGTGCTAATGTAAACTTCAAACGCCGATCCGTCACTCTCCGGAATACCGGGGGAAAGCCGTATGTAATACCCATGAGACTAACTCTTCGAACGTCGGTTAAGGTAGTTCCCCGAATTTCTCCGGAAACAATGGGAGAGCTCCGCATGATCTCCTGGAGTGCACCTGTGGACGGAGGCCACTCATCGAACGATGCGGGGAGCAACGACGATGACGATCCAGTCGTTACACAGTTAGTATGGCAGCTGATTCACTACCCGCCGCCTCACACTATTCCGCGTACCATGCATCTAGCTGCACGGAATGCTCCTATGATGATCATGGGAGAACCCCTCGTACAGATTTCGAGGCTGGTTGATTCCTTCGAACCCCCTCGGACCCTGTACGAAGGCGTATCTCCCCTTCTCCTTTGGTATAGTGACAAACGTTCCTTTTGTGATCTCACTGGCTTACCTCGATCCCTGCTTCAGCCCGCAAAAGAGGTTCAGTTGTTGCGTTTGGGAGCCGAAGCAGGTTCTTTGGAACCCCCTCAGCGCATCGAGGCAAGATCCGATGCACTCGGGATCAAAATCTCGCCCAAACGCGTGCCCTGGCGAGACATCTGCGACGGGATAACCCCCGAAGGTCATACAGCGATCAGGGAGGAGGAAGCACAGATGGTGGCCACTGTGTTTTCTTGGAGATCGGATCACGCGTTTAGATTTGCACCGCCTGGCACTACTCGGCGTATACACACGAAGCAGGTTAACATTCGGATTTTGGATCAAATGTATGAATTGCATGTGCCCCAGTATGTACCTTATGAGATCCATTGGCTGATCGCTGATATTTTAATAGAGTATTAAGGGGCGATTAGCGTGTCCGATGCCGATATTGGGTTATCTGTGGTCGTTCAGCATGAGATTCAGACCGGGAATCATTCCTCGATCCACTGCAAGCCGTACCGATACTCTTTGACACAGTGCAAGACGGCCTTGCAACAAATCAGGGAATTTGAGGCAAACGGATGGATTGAGTCTGCCACCAGTCCCTGGTCGTTCCCAGTTGTATTGGTTCCTAAAAAGAATGGGTCAGTCCGCAGATGCATCGATTATCGAAATCTAAATGATATCACGATTAAAGATGTGTATCCCCTTCCCTGGATTGATGATCTGCTTGATGCGATCGGGTGTGCTAACTACTTCAGCAAGTTCGACATTCGGCATGGGTTTCATCATATCTTGGTTAAGGAAGAAGATCAGCCCAATACTTCCTTCGTTTTGTTTGAAGGCACGTGGCAGTGGGTTCGGTGCTCGATGGGAATCTGCAATGCGCCTGCCATGTTTCAGAGGGCGATGAACGTGACTTTTCAGAATTTCGTCAATAAGACATGGCTGACTCAGGGGATGATTAACTTTTGCGTCATTGTGTACATGGATGACATTCTGGTGTACTCGGACACGTCTCACGAACACGCGCAGCACATCGAATGGACGTTGGGTGTGTTGAGAGACGCAGGTTTCAAGATTGCACTGGAAAAGAGCGAGTTTTTCCTTCCGGAAATCTCGTTCTTGGGGTATGTGGTGACACGAGGAGGCCTGCGGCCGGACTCTCGAAAAGTCGCGGCGGTCAAAGAGGCCCCGGTTCCGACCTCACTGACGCAGGTTCGAGCCTTCTTGGGCCTGGCCTCGTATTACTGGCGGTTCATCAAGGGGTTCGCGGCTATAGCAAGGCCTCTGACAAACCTGCTACGAAAAGAACAACCCTTTCATTGGGATGACGAGTGCGACCAGGCCTTCGGGGCCCTGAAGGATGCTCTCGTCACGGCCCCGATTCTGATATGACCAGACCCCTCTCGACAGTTTATTCTCATCACCGACTGGCAGTTGGAGGCTATCTCGGTCATTCTGGCACAAAAGGGAAACGATGGGAGGGAGCTTGTGATCGACTACGCTTCCCGGATGGTGTCAGACGAGCGACGAAACGATTTCGCGCCACAAGGAGAATGTTATGGGGTAGTGTGGGGTATCCAGCACTTCCATCCGTATTTGTACGGTCAAAAGTTTCTGCTCGTCACCGACCATGAACCTCTGTTGGCTCTGAAAAAGCTAACCAACTACACGGGCATGATTGGACGATGGGCAGTGCGGTTGCAAGAGTATGAATTTGACATTGCTCATCGAAAAACGGAGAGGCACGGCAACGCCGACGGACTGACATGTTTGCACCGACCCGGTAAAGTACCAAAGGCGGAAGAAATCACACCGTGGAAGGACCCGGACATCAATAACGGTCCAAAGTATGGAGAAGTTGTGGTTATTCCACGTGGCAAGAAGTTGGTGAAGGGCAATGGGTGACGGAGGTAATGTCCAGATTCCCTCTCTTTCTTCCCCATCCTCTTCTTTCGCCTCCCTTCCTGACAAATTTTGCCATTTCTGCGAGGCAATCTCTCGAGTCTATTCCGTCCACATGTGTCCTAAAGGGAGGGGATATGTTGAATGGGTAGACTGTCGGAAATGTGTCGCACGTGCTCATGGTGCGTGCATACAGTATCAGAGTAGTGATAGACCCTGGTTCTGTCCCTTATGTCGCACTGACAAGATTCCGACGGAAGCCCGATTCCTCGATGCCACGTCGGAAGGCCCCGATAAAATTCAGAAATTTAGAAGAGCGGAAGTCTGGACAGATGTCGCCTTGATAGCCACTGTGGTAGGGAACTCCCTCGAAACCTTTTCCAAGGAGGATCGGAGGAGGGCCAATGAAAGAGCACGGGATTACCGATGGGTGGACGGACGGTTAGAAAAGCGTAAAACAGACGGCAATGGGGCATGGTTAGTAGTTCCGCAGCCGTTTATGCGGTACGACTGGGCACGGACAGCCCACGAGGAGACGGTGGCGCATTTTGCCGTGCGTATTACCGAAGCTGCGATGGACAGAAATCAATGGTACTGGTCCAATATCCGGGACGACGTTAAATTCATCGTCCAACACTGCCAGGTCTGCGCTGCTGACAAGGCCCTAACCCAACCGCCTAGGTCGATAGTCCCAACGGTGGTTGAACGGCCGTTTCAGAGGGTTGGTATGGATACTACTGATATAGTGGTGCCCCCCGGACCGAATAGTTGCGACTGTTCAATTCTGCTGGTTTTCGTCGACCACTTTTCTAAGTGGATCGAGGCCTACCCCTGCAAGACACGACAAGCCKCGGAAATCGCRCGGTACGTCAACYGTTTTCTAGGCATGCACCAGGACAMCGAAGAGATTCTGACCGACAATGGGGTCGAATTTAGAGGAGAAGTCGAGAGGAACCTGGTCATACACGGCGTCTTCATACTGCACACGGCCYCGCACATGTCCCAGTCTAACGGATTAGTGGAAAACGCGAATAGGGTGATAAAAASGGCCTTGCGGCGGAATATTGCGGCACGTGACCCCCGACCCTRGCCTGATATTGTCGACCACATYTKGGCRGTCCATCGYGGAACGCCCCACGAATCGACGGGCCTAAGCCCCTTCCWGTTGCGGACCAATAGTGTYGCGTGTGTGTCGATACYGAGCCTCCCGAYGAATSAGGACTCAACCGAYGCCCCACAAGGGCCACCGMTCGGGACAAAGCCAAAAGGCACCTGRAACTTATGGAGCGGTCCCTACCTAGACTGGCCCGGAAGCGACAACGGTCCACCGAATTGGCCCATAGCCGACAGGTCCGGAGTTACGAGGCCCGGAACGGGAATGCGGGTCCCAGGACCCAGTATAAGTTAGGGGACATCGTGCAGGTAAGGACATGTGCGCGCCAGGGTAAACTAGCGCCACGATTCTTCGGACTGTATCGAATGATTGAACTCGGACCCTACGGCGTGGACACCGTGCGCCTCGCTCCCGAGGTTTCCGACAGTCGATCGGCTCGCCCGATCACACGCCACGTGTCCTATCTCCATCTTCTTCCCTCTATTCCGTCTCCTTCTCCATCAACCTCTCCCGACGACGACTCTATCTCCTCTGCATCTCCTTCTCCTTCTCAATCTCTGTCAGATACGCCGTCACCCTCGCCGTCGCCATGAGCTTTATGGAGGAGAGAGCTCTAAGTGAAGAAGCGCTGGGAGCACGTGGGAATTTGACACTGCGGCAGGTACATCATCCTCGTCTTAGTCCGGACCTTCAGCGGCTTGCGTAATTCTTCTTCTCGAAGGGCGTCTACGCGGCAGCAGAGATCCACGCCGACGGGAGGGTTGACGCGATGATATTGGCCGAAGCTGTCGGGTTGCGACAGCGAGCATCTGTGGACGTCGGCCGGATAACGGTGGTAGTTAATTTCAGTGGAGATCTCACGGCGATCCCCCCCTGCCGACACACGAGAATCAAGGTGGCGTTGCTTCTGTGGGTGCACAATCTTCAGAACGAGTGGACCCAGCTCTTGGTGCACCAAGGGGACATGATCACACCAATCCGAGCGATTGAATACAATGGCCTTCGGCTAGATTGGCGTGACCTGCTGACGCAATTACCCCCTCTCATCCCCTTCCATCCCCGATGAGCTCCTTCTCGATCTCTACTTTCGAGCTTCCTTCTTCCTTCCCCACCTTTTGGCAATTTGATCTTCAACCCCGGCTCTCCTTCTGCATAAATCCTCTGGTTGTTCCCCTCCTCGATCCCTCTCTGTGGGACGCGTGGCGCAGAGACTTCATCGAACTCTCACTGTGTTTGGTGGAAGTACGGGTGGCGTGGACGAGGGTCAAGAGAAATTATCCGCGGTCTGAGCGATTGGAGCTCCTTTTGATTCAGGCGTGGCGGACGGAAGTAGAGGGGGACCTTCTCGGTTTTCTATCCGGGTCAGTGTGTCCAGGCTGTCGGAGGCTTCTCACCCAGGAGCTTACGGTCCCGATTGCGCAGCTGGCCRACGATCTTGACRTCAGCATTGTCTCCCAGGTCGACCCGCGCTTGGTGCCCCACGTCACCTCGYGCACGCTGTYGCCGTATCTTYAGTGGTCAGCGTGCGTGGAGGGCTTCCCATCGAGAATTYCGCCTTCACGGTTGGATTAYTTGGATCCGCGCRACATCRTGGATCCCGCTTTCTACAGACCRYCGTACGAGGAYGAATTGSAGGAGATAATCCRCGAGGAGCTCGCGGAAGAAAGTTCGSAGGARGAGGAGGAGAATCCRAACGAAGACGAAGGGGAGCCAGCACAGCAGCAAGAAGGAGAAGAAGACGAGCTCCTGCAAACGGAGAACGAAGAGGAAGCAGAAGAAGAAGACAGCGAGCAAGGGAGCGGTGACGGCAACGACGAGGAGCACGCCGACGAGGATCCCCAGCTAGAAATTGCGCCGGTTGCTGATCTTCCGATCAGCAACGATCCAACGCTCGACCCGGAGCCACCTCAGCCAGACGACGGCGATGTGGCCCAGATGGCTGGGCCGTCCGTTYGCCGGCCTCCTTCCCCACCGCGACACCGACGASGAAGCCGCTCCCCCTCCTCCTCCCTCTCCCTCTCGGCYYGTCCCGCACTTTGAGCACGTCGAGATGAGGCCGATCGTTYTTCGTCCTCGGGCTCTCTCTCTCCRACCCCATGACTTCCTCACCCTGCGCCAGCTCACCCGTTCYGCCGTCTTCCCCCACAATCCCTTCCCCYGCGACACTTTCCGTCATTACTTCTCCATCYGTCTCTCTGTCACAGTCCATCCCCACTCATCCTCCCGGCGTGCTTCCCCTGAGTTCCCTCTCCATGTACTTCTTTTTAGCATAGGATGGCGTCGTATCAACGTCGTAGAGGTTTATTGCCTCATCAYGGGGTTAATCCCCGCATGCGCCGACCGCGATCGCTTTCGCGCGGCGCTTCTTAGAACCTTCACCACTCTCTATCCCGACTACCTCGCTTCTCTCCCCACTACTGGCCGCCGATTTCCCCGCTTCCATAGAATCGTCCATCATCGGAGCCTTCCGGAAACGGACGATGAGCTGGAACGTTTTTTCCCGCCTATCCCAACTTATCCCCCATCAACACCTCCGCCTGTCTATCGTCTTCCTTTTCCTCTTCCCCACGAGTGACGACAACCAGGATACGACTGCCGCGCAGCATGACTT